TCATTGTTCTTCATAGCACTTGCCACCATCTGACAAAACAGGGGGTTGTCTTCATTGTCTGCCCTGCCTACTGGAATATGAGCTTCTAGAGGGCATAGGCCTTGTCTGACTTGTTAATTTCCATGTCCCTCATGCCTAAAACAGTGACTGAAATAAATAATAAACATTGGTTACATGAATGAATAAATTAAGGCAGGTTTTTTAAAACCAGGATGGATAGCAAGCACGTGACAAGTTGGTAGTAGAGTATGGTTTAGTCTGGAAAACATTATTTTGATACAAGAAAATGCAGCAAGCTGAATCATATTTTTGCTTAATAGGTTAAAAGTGATTCCTAACTTAAACTACTACCTAGAATTTGGCTCCAATATAAAGTTTCACTCAGCAATCCCATCAGCATTATTTATTTTATTTGTTAGGCATTTTTAAAACTACTATTGCAACTTTTGGGCATTTTGACATTATAAATGTAAATGTATCTCTTTTTAATATTATTGACTTTCAGAAGCATAAGGGCAAAGCAGACATTGTAATTCATTTTGTGAAGCTTTGAAGGAAAAGAGGAGGGGGAAGACTGATGAAAAATCAAAAAATCAGAAAAGGGACAACTAAGTTATGAAAATCTAAAAAGTGTTAGTTTTACCTGTTAAAAAAGCCCCACACAAATTAGCCAGCTCCCACAAACATCTCAAAATTCAGATAAATAACAATATTTTTATTAATTAACTGACACACCTCTTTTTCCCCCTATATTTCTTGCTTGAGTACTCGTTGATTTCTTCTTTATATGACAAAAATTTCATGATATAATTTTTTCCATTAACATCTACCATAGTTAATCAATAGTAGTTTTTATAATTGATAATAGGGTTGCACACAACATGGGACTTCTCGTACCGAAGTAATCAGTGTAACATGGCTACAGATTTTTGCCTATAAACATAAGAATTCTAATAGATTTTATTTTTTATAATAGCCATAATGAATGTACGGTGCATTTATCATTGTATATGCTGCATTATCTGGCATATTCCGGAAAGGAGGCACCTTTGCATTTAACTAGGCATCAATAAGAAATGAATTCTTCACTGGCGATTTTTGTATTTAGCCATTAGAAGAGTATTCCACAGACTAGTTTGTGGCACTGTACATTTCAACGTATGTTTTCCTCTACTACACAAATACGTACAGTGTCAGCACCTTCGAATGGGTTCATGCTGTGATAGGACCTCTGGCCCTGCCCTTTAATGTTTTCACACAGGCAAATGGACACAACACATGGTAAGCGGATGCCTGGAAGCTCTTCATTCCTATGCTGGGCAACTGGCAATAACTTTTCCCTGAATGCGATTGTGAACCACATAAACATATTTCATGAAACCCAAGCTGAACAAATCCCCGCCTCATCTTCCCCTTAGCTGGGTTCCAAAAAGGCTCGTGGGTACTCCACCATCTCTTGCAGGGGACGTTGGATGAAAAAGACAATAATCTTAACCAGATTCAGTTGAAGTATTTTACTTCGGCAGATTTTACAACAGCATATGCACATGTAAACACATTGTTGGTGTTCCTTCCAGAGCCTTGGAAGGGATCCCAGAAGGGGGGGTCCTGAGCTTTAGCTTCACTAACTTCCTATTAGATTCTCCAGTAATGGGTACACATCTAATACACTTCAGCTACACTAACTTCCATATCTTTTTTGTATTGACAAAGTGTATTTTTGCTGTTCTTCCTGCCTTTCAAATCAAATCGTTATCAATTGTGTCTCAGCTCAAGGAGGTTTTTCTGATCGCCTGTGTGTATCACTCCCATTACTCTGTCATACCACCCTGTTCCTCTCTCTTTTTAGCCCCCATTTCTCTCACCATTTTGCGTACATACTTATTGTCTGCCTTCTCTGGTGAAATGTGGGCTCCACGAGGGTAGGAATGTTGCCAAGGACGCTCACAAAAAAATAATTTTTAAAAAAGATTTTATTTATTTATTTGAGAGAGAGAGAGCACACACGAGTAGGGGATAGGGCAGAGGGAGAGAGAGAAGCAGACTCCTTGAGCCCAGGACCTCGGGATCATAACCTGAGCCAATGGCAAATGCTTAACCGACTGAGCCACCTAGGTGCCCCCCAAAAATCATTTGAATGAATGAATGAATGAATGAATGATAAGCTTAAATGTAAGTATCTTTCTAATTAACTCAAGAATATTATTTTATAATTTTAATAAATGTACTCCAACTCTAGTTCCCCATCTCACTGGATTGGTAGGAAAGCCAATCTCAGGTATCTTTTAGAGTCACTTCCTTCCCAGGGTTTGCAAAGTTGTTGGGATTCAGCAGAGTGGCAGGTCATCACTCATTTGCCTTCACTGGTCACTGAACTGTCCACAGTCTTGGCCAGCAGTCAGGTACCCAGCTGCAGCTTCTGTGATATGCATGTGGCTGAAAAGTGTTGGCTAAGGTTGGGAGCCCTGCTTTTGGTGTCCAGCCTCCCTCCAGAGACCCTGTAGCTGTTTCCATCTTGCCATTATTTCTCTGACAGCAGCTTGGTGGTCAGCACTACCTGGGAGACCCCCAGACTGCCATACTCCTAGTTAGGACTAAATCCCTCCCTTCCTTTTCTCAAGGGCACTTTCCTTGCTTTTCTGTCTACTCAGGATGCCTTGCAAAATCATTTCGTGGAGTTTAGGCCATACAGAACTGAGAATCATTGTTACCACCTTCTATTCTTGCTCAGTCAAAGTCCCTGAGTTAAGGAAGTAGGAAGGGTCTGACTACTTCCTTGGAAGAGGAACAAGGGGGAAATCTGAAGAATGAACAAAATTATGAAAATCTCAAAAATTATCCTGCCACATACCTTTTATATATTTGTATATTGAAAAGGAAACTAACTGATACTTTGGCGTCTGTATGCTCTGCCTCCCTATTATGGGCTGAAATTTTTCCCCCAAATTTATATGTTGAAGCCCTACTCTGCAGTATCTCAGAATGTGACTATATTTGGAGATAAAGTCTTTCAAGACAATTAAGTTAAAATGAGGTCATTGGAGTGGGCCTTAATCCAATATTACTGGTGTCCTTATAAAAAGAGGAGGTTGGAGAGACAGGTACAGAGAGAAGATGATGTGAAGGCCCTTGGAGAAGACAGCCATCTACAGGCCAAGGAAATAGACCTCAAAAAATTCTTCTGACACCTTGATCTCAGGTTTCTAGCCTTCAGAATTTTGAGACAATAAATTTCTCTTCTTTAAGCTGCCCTGTCTATGGTACTGTGTAATGGACACCTAGCAAACTAATATACTCCCTCGTGCTGTGACGTTGGGCAAGGCAGCACCTCTGGGCTTTAGGTAAAAGTAGGAGTTGCTGGTGTGCATCTCCTTAGCTCTGCAAGCCCGGATGATGGGATTTTAAACCACCACCGGCAGCAGTGGTAGTTTCTCCCCAAACCACATTCAGCCTCAGAGCAAGAGAGAGCACGTAGATGAACAGGGAAAATGTTGTTAGGATGGCTTGAGGGTGTCTTCTTTCACGCTGCCCCTTTTCGCTTGCCCTGGAATGCTGCAGAGAACCATCACCACCTGCTCAGATGGCATTTCATGCACGTGCATTCCAGGAAACAGCACAAATACTCGAGTCACAGCAGGCCCTAGCGGGGTCAGCAGATAATGAATTAGTGATTCTCCAAGAGTCAGAGAGTTGCCTCACTGTTTAATATGAGTTCACAAATGTTTATCCATCATGTGGATTATCTATCTATTTTTTTAACACTTAGGATAAAGTTCTGTTATCTGTAATTAATTCCAACAAGCATGTTTCCTCCAAATGTTAAGAACGATCATTTGAAAAGATCTTGTTGTTTTTGTCTGGAATATTAATTTCTTTCCACGTGTGCTATTTTATGTCTAATTGTTGTCAGTCCCTCTTTGTGCAGAAGGAAAACTTAAAACAAAACAGTAACAAAATACATTGTCTCAAAGCTCTAAATTTTAACTCTGATTTTGGAAGGTATAATTTAGTGACGGTTCCAAATAATGATTGTAGCCCATGGAAAAAGTGGTTTTGTTTGTTTAAAAACATAGATGCTATCATTTAAATCTTATCTTTAATAATTCATTGACATTACCCTACATGTTTCCTTAAAAATTATCTTTACTCTTTCTGATGTTTCAAATAATACTATCTGAAATACAAAATATGCAATATTTACTAGTAAAAACAAAGTAGCAAAATGATACTGTCAGTAGATATCACGAATCATATTTTCAGTTCATTTTTTGACATTACAGACAAATGCCCTCCAGTTTTTTGGAGAAAACATGTCTAAATCTATTTTTTCTAATATGTTTATTTAACTCCATCTTCATTGTCCTAAAACGTATACACACACATGCACACACATTGCACTTTTATAAAATATGCTTTTTGAAACTGAAACTTTTAATGTGTATGTATCCTATGGGGACTTCAATCCATGTGGTTTCGTTTGGTGATTCATTCAAATTTAACTCACATAAATACATTAGCTAATGTTGTAAGATGCCTGCTAGGTTTCTGATTTTTTTTTTTTTTAAGGCCTTTTGATCGAGACACCTGGGTGGCTCAGTCAGTTAAGTGTCTGCCTTTGGCTCAGGTCATGATCTCAGGGTCCTGGGATCCAGCCCCTCATCAGACTCCTTGCTCAACAGGGAGCCTGCTTCTCGCTCGGCCTGCTTCTCCCCCTGCTTGTGCTCTTTCTCTCTGACAAATAAATAAATATAATCTTTAAAAAAAAAGGCCTTTTGATAAACACCAAGTTTTGGTGGCCCAAAAGGAAGGAAGAGTTAGGTTTGGTATAGATATTGAAATCATGATTATTATTACAGTTTTGGTTTTTCTAAACTTCAGATAACTTTACATTAATATTGTGAGATAATAGAAAGTATATATTGGTCTCTGCCCCCAGTTCCTGGGACACTAGGAGCATCTCCTGCTTTAATATTGGTCTTTGACTTTTGTTTCTGATACAGAACTCCTGGAATCCTTGTGATTTCCTGGGTGATGGGAGTGTCATTTGTTCTTCTGCGTGGGCTTCTGGATGAGGGCTGGCCACTGGAGAGACCAAGCCATGATGAGAAGCTTGGAATTTTCAGCTCTGCCACCCATTTTCTTGAGAAGAGTTAATGATCCATCCATCATGCTTACACGATGCAGCCTCTATAAAATTCCAAAAGTACAGGGCTTGGAGAGCTTCTGGATTGGTGAGCACGTGGAGGTGTTGAGAGACTGGTGTGTCTGGAGAAGGCATGGAAATTCTTCATCCGTTCCCATATACCTTGCCCTACCTTCCATCTAGATGTTCATCTGTATCCTTTTTCAGATCCTTTAGTAAACAGTTAAACAGTTAAATGTAAGTAAGTATTTCCCTGAGTTCTGTGAGCCACTCTAGCAAATAATCAAATCCGAGGTTTGGAACCTCTGATCTATAGCCAGTTGGTCAGAAGCACAGGTGGTAACCTGGACTTGCGACTGGGGTCTGAGGTGTATATGTGTGTGTTGGGGCGGGGGGAGACACATCTTGTGGGACTAAGCTCTTACCGATGGGATCTGATGCTATCTCCAGGTAGATAGTGTCAAAATGGAGTTGAATTCTTGGATATCCTGCTGGTGTCCTGATAATTGCTTGATGGTGATGTGGAGCTACATTCTGCACTCCCACTCCCACTCCCACGTATTTTTTAGTAAAAAACTGAATTAGAAAAGTAACAAAGAGGCATGAGCCAGCATAGGTGGCCAATGTGAAATTATTGTAGAGTAAGTCATTCCTACAGGAATGTTTTTGCTTTATAATGTGGTTTCCCAATTCGTGTTAGGCTCAGAAGTCTTACTGTGCTGTCAAAACTGGGAAGGATAATATAGGCATTATTTGTGGAATGAATAATCAAGTGAGTGAATGAATGGATGGTATTACAAAACAGAACATCTGACACATTGTTAAATCCTTTAAATGGTATAGAAGTAGAATTAGTCTAAGATCATTTTTTTTTTTTAAAGATTTTATTTATTTATTTGAGAGAGAGAGAGAATGAGAGACAGAGAGCATGAGAAGGAGGAGGGTCAGAGGGAGAAGCAGACTCCCTGCTGAGCAGGGAGCCCGATGCGGGACTCGATCCCGGGACTCCAGGATCATGACCCGAGCCGAAGGCAGTCGCTTAACCAACTGAGCCACCCAGGCGCCCCTAAGATCATTTTTTTATTGAGGTGTAGTTGACTTGTTACATTATGTCAGGTGTACAATGTTACATTAGTTTCAGGTGTACAGCATAGTGATTTGACAAGTCTGTATATTATGCTATGCTCACCACAAGTGTAGCTACCATCAAAGAAGGTCATTTTCAAAACCACTCAAGTCACTTTTTTTTCCCATAAGAAAGTGAATTTTTACTCTTGCCTTAATTCTTAAATTCCAAATAAAATAACGAGCAGGCTGTGTGCTGTTTGACCAGGGCTCTGGTTCCATTTCTCCACCCGTGTCTCAGTTTCACTTTTTTGGGTCTGGGATTTGATTTCGTGAACCTCCTTGCAAGCTACTAAGTTAGCCTGCTACTGTTTCATGGATGCTGGAAGAAGACATGAGATTCTTTGGTCAGAGACAAAGAACTTTCTTACACAAGGTACAGCATATATACACAAGGTATATCAGCGTATTTACAAGTTTATCTTGCCTCAAACTCCATAGGGTTTATAAGATATTACCCAGATGGATACTACATACCCAGTGGATTTCCATAACAGCTAAGGTACACTAGGCCTAGTGAATCCATTGCTTTTATTTTATTTTACTTTTTACTTGCAGTCAGCTAGCAAACTTACTTTTGTCCCACACTGAGATATTACCACATCCATCAAGGTTGCTTGCTACAAAAACAAGCCTGAGAAATAGCTCAGGAAAAGAAGCATTAGGACCTTGAATTCTGACACATTCAGAAAGACATCTAGGAGCACTAGAGACCCATGGAAGACTCCCTCTCACAATATACGTTGTGATGGTTTCCCCCATTGGCTGTTATCAGTATCCGTGGGTGAATGATATTGTCCCTGACAGCTATCTGGAAGAGTCTTAAGCTTCCCTGTGGTTGGACCATATATGAATTAATCACTGGAGCTGGGTAATATCCTTGACTTAGGCCTAGGTTGTGTATCCATTCCTGAACTAATCTCTATATTAAGGCGGAAAGATTACTCTGACTGTCTAAAATCAACCAACTTATCCATGCTGTTGGGGTCGGAGGATCAATTTTACCCAACACAGTAGTTACTGCCCAATGGGGGAAAGGCAAAATGTTAGGGAGACTGTCGCTAAATATTCCACACAGTTTTTAAGTGGTATAATTCAAGAATTTTGCTCTATTTCAGATTTTCCCAAGTCAAATGAAGTGAGAAAAGGGAAAGAAATTAGAACTCTTTGGCTTTCTTTTCTATACCTTTATTCTGGGAAATCTTAGCTAGCCTTTCATTCTACTCATATTAACTGAGCACCAATTAGTGGTCAAGAATTGTATTAGACCTGGGGAGACAAATTCAAGTAAATTGGAAACATCTGCTAATCTCACAGGGTTAATCAGCTAGTGTTGGATTCAGACAATTTAAGAGACCATTTGAATGAGTGAGAAAGTGCAGGGTGATGGCAGCACATGGAAGGAACACCCGACCTGGACAAGGGCACAGGACAGGATGGTTAGGAAAGGCTCCCTGGAGAATGTGACATGTAAGCTGAGACCAGAAGGATGAGTAGGAATTATCAGGTGATCTAGGTGTGGGGAGGACGAGATAGCTTGGAAGCATGAGACCTAGCAGATGGAGCAGTAGATCAGGTTGAAGAAAGTGAAAGTAGTTCTGTGTGTTGAATCATAAAATTCAAGGTGGGAGATGAGGTTGGAGAAGAAGTGAGGAGTGGGAGGCAGAACGTATTCTCTAGGTAAAGGAGTTTTGACCATTCTGAAAGTCCTTGAAGACTTGAAACAGAGGGAAAAAATAAATATGATAAATATTGCGTTTTGGAAATTTCATCCTGGCTGTCAAGTCAAATATGAATTGAGGTGTAAACAAAGCTGGGACAGACGAGTTAGGAGATTGTTGAAATCAAGGCCAGAGATAGAAGTAATCACAGGAGTGGAAATGGAGTAAAGAGGCAGATTTGCAATCTATTTAGAAGTTGAATCCATATGCCTTTTTTTTTTTTAAAGATTTTATTTTTTTATTCGAGAGAGAGAGAGAGAGCACGAGCAGGGAGGTGAGGCAGAGGGAGAAGCAGACTCCTCACTGAGCAGGGAGCCCAACGTGGGGCTCGGTCCCAGAACCCTGGGATCATGACCTGAGCAGAAGGCAGATGCTTGACTGACTGAGCCACCCTGGTGCCCCTGGATCCATACATCTTAATGAGTAACTGGACACAGGAGAACTGCATTAGGGAGTACATAAGGCCTGGAGACAGAATAGCAATGATAAGAACCGGCATATTAAATTCAGGCAGGCAAAAGTTCAAATCTCTACCACTTAGAATCTAAGGCTGAGTTAATTACCAGGAAAAGGGAGACACTAAAAATCATGTACCTAACATGGTTACTTTGAGGATGAATAAAACACTATACGTCAAGTTCCTGACACTAAGTAAACCCATAGAAAGGGTGTAAGGTGAGAAAAGTAAGTAGACCAGAACATAGCCCTGGAAGACAACACACACATTTAAAGAATGACTAGAAACTGAGGACAGCCAAACGTGAGAGAAGAGTGGCTAGAGAGGCAAGAGGAGAGAGCATGTTTTGTATCCTAGAATAGAAGCCTAAGAGAGAAGACAATCAAAGGAGGACATGGCCAATAATCTCAAGTGCTCACAAAAGCAAGGAGGTAATAAGTGACCTTGCTGAGAGCTTTTCCTGTTGTGGGGATAAAAGCTAGACTGGACTGGGTTGAGGAGCACAAAGACCGGCAGAAGCGGAAAGAACAATTGTAAAAAGTTCTTTTTCTTATTTTATTTTATTTTAAGATTTTCTTATTTATTTGTCAGTGAGAGAACACAAGCAGGGGGAGCAGCAGAGGCAGAGGGAGAAGCAGGCTCCCCGCGGAGCAGGGAGCACGATGTGAGGCTCCATCCCGGGACCCCGGGATCATGACCTGAGCAGAAGGCAGACGCTTAACCGACTGAGCCACCCAGGTGTCCCTGAAGTTCTTTTTCTTTTGTTCTGAGTTCATACTTTAGGATGTTACTTATAAAATTCTTTTTTTTTTTTTTTTTTTCCTCAAAGAAAGATAGGGGTACAGGCAATTCACCTTTTGGGAGAGAATCAAACTCGAGATGCATGTCTGGTCTTCCTGCCCTTCAAGGCTCTCTCTGAGCACTGCCGGTATCTGAGTGACCGTCTCTTACCCCAGTGAGAAAGCACAAACAAAATCACTTGACACGTTTGGCTTCTGGGCAGTGAGGCTGTGTGAAGGTTCACTGCAGAGTGCTTCCTGGTACTGAAATAGGCAGAGTTGTCTGCAAGTCAGTTTTGTCTGGTACCACATGTAACATCAATTAACTTGTCCAAGCTTTTCATTATTTGGTATGTTTTTATGTGGATGAATGTCATGGAAAATAAAAATATCATGGAAGAATAAAAATGTTCCATTTGTACAATTTTTGGTGGATTGTATTCAGATTTAAAACATTAAAGTATTTTGGACCACATATAAAATAAACTTTTATTTTGTGTATCCATTCCAGACTCAGAGCACTGTGATGAGGGACTATAAAAATAAGAAACTTGTAGGTGACATTGTATGTAGTTGGCTGACTATTTTGGTTCAAGAAGTTTCTTTCCTGCTGAGGAAGGAAGAAAATGAAACACTTATTTAAATTTAAAATACTCCAGACCATGCAAGAGACATAGTTAAAAGAATGTAGTTTCCAGGGGGAAATTCTTTTCTTCTCCTCTTCCTCTTTCCTCTCCTCCCCCTCCTCAACTCTAAAATATACACACCTCTTTCATAGTTCAAAAAAGTACTTTTCAGAGTAGGAGGTTAAAAAAAAAGACAAATGTTTTGCTTTCCTTTATTTCCTCTTACGGAATTAGATAGTAGAAGCTTAGAAAAATAATAATTTCACCCTCTTGAACTCCCTTTTGTCTGTTTCAATCATCACTGTGGTCATTCTCAAAACATTCATTTGAGAGAATCAAATTGTCTAGTAGTTGGATTTTCAGAGCTCATATTTTAGGATGTCACTTCTGGCCCAGCCGGCCATTAAAATCTTCACGTGTTCTCTACTAGTCATAGGATTATTAAATGAAAGTTTTTCAATCATTTTTTTTTTTTTTTTTAAGATCTTATTTATTTATCTGACAGAGAGAAACAGCGAGAGAGGGGAC